TTGCAAAATTGCAATGCAAGTTTGGCCAAGAGTTCTTACCTCTGCTACAGCTCACTGAACCATTTGCATCTTATGAATTGGAGCCCTAAGTCATGTTCATTTAATCAGTTGCTCCAGTGTAAGTACTGATGAAATTGCCAAGTGATTTCTTTGGCAAAAGGCAAGTCATGCTTTGTAGCTCTGATTCTATATACTTTTCCCATGGGGTATAAACCCTGCTTTTATTTCATTCCTAAATAATTTTTTGCATGATTGGAGGGCTATGAATAAAGTCAATAATATAGATTTGTTTTTATTTCAAATCCTGAAGGAAGCTGCAAAGGACATGTATGCATAATAAGGAAAGGAGAAACTGATCAATTGTTTAAAAATAAAATTGCTACGATACTTAAAATATTTTCCTTTATCAAAAGTTGTCAACCTTTTAATATTGTAGAATTCCTTAAGTTATAAATAAATGTTTTTTAAGAATGAAAATCCAGTCCTTTCTCCTGCTGTTTGTGTACTTGTAGCCTTGAAAAAAAATTGTAGACAGTTTAAAGCATGTTACTGAGTCCATACAGAGATTCCTGTACTAGGAGATTGACTTCAAAGTGAGATGCTTGTTATAACAGCTTCACACTAACTAGAATACTACTGCTTTTTCAGTGAGAAGAGTTGCAACTGGTATCTGCCTTTGTAGCCCATTGACAAGGGGGCTGACTGGTTCTGTTCCACATACCACCCACCCTGCACAACATCTATTAATGCATGGCTCTGGTAGGCTAGTTTGACCTAATGCAGAGGAAGACTTGCCCTGCTTCCCCCCTCCAGGTTATTTTTCTGAAGTGTTAGCAAGCTGAAGGATCTCAGGAAATTGTCAAATGAATATGGGTGAAATGTGGAGTGTGTATGTTTGAGGGGGATAGAACAACACATCACACTTTCAGCAGCAACAAATAAGTAGAATATGTAATGTGTCTCTAAGTACACTGGATTTTATATCAGTACAAGTCACTGCTTCCTGAAGAGAGTTGCCTTCTAAATAAATCTTCATTTGATTCTGTGACCAGGTATTCTTTGTGGTGATGCAAGGTTCCCCCAGGTTGGCATTTGCATTGTGGGATGTCTGCCAGATGTAGCTGTGGTGTCATCACTCCCCGTCCTGGAATCCTTTTACTTTCCATGATTGAGTGCTCTTTTTTGCTGCTTTCAAAGTCTGAAAAGACTGTCACAGATAAAACCAGGCTCTGTGTTGCACTGAGCATAGCTGAGAATATGCAGTGGTTGGTCTACAAAGCTCCAGCTGTGGGTGGTGGTGTGCTGGTTTAGTGGTCAAAAAGAGAATGAGGGCCAAGCAGCCAGGGGTTTGCAGGAGGGTTTTTTTTCATAGAGACCTCATAGGTACAGAAGGAGTCCATGGGCCGAAAGGGTAAGTTATGATTACATGGATATGGCCGTGACTGAAGTTATTTAGGTTTTTGTTTTAGAAACCTTAAGCAAGGAAGGATATGTATTTCTGACATACTGCCATTGTTCAATAATGGGTTATAGATTCAAGAAATAAATGGGAAGCACGGGACTGAACTTCCTCAATATTTTTTTAGGGAGAAAGTTTATTATGGGGAAAGGTTTCCTTGTTTCTTTTGGGCTTTTTGTTTGTTTGTTTGTTTTAAAAACAGCACCTGTAGTTGAACAACAACAAGAAGTTCTTAAGTTATATACTGCAGCAGCTATTTTGTGAAGTTGTAACATATCCAGGAAGAAACAAACTATGTTTGAGCTGGAAAGCTGTTGATGTACTTCTCTGCAATATTTAAGACACCTTTGCCTAAATAGGGGAGTAATCAAAATAGGATTGCTTAGGCTGTTTGGTGGTTCGATTACAGAACAATCATAGTTAAGAGTTTCTTAGCAAGGTCTGTGAACTCACAGTGATCATTTTTTTGGGCTCCTTTAAGTGACTTTTGAAAAATGTGGTAAGATTTTCATGGCACCCAACACTTTTCACAAACACACACACACCCTTTTGTCATATCCCTGTAAGAATAATCTGTCTGAAGTCAAATGAGAACACTTCAGGGCATTAACAGCTCCAAATTTTGAGGATTCATTAGTGGATGTCTAGTAAAAATCATGCATAGAAGTAAAGTAGAGAGGAGAGTATATGCTGATACAACATCAGGAAGGTAAAGAGAAGGAAAAGTAGAATTTCAGAGTTTAAGAAATGATCTTTGTTTAACAAGTGACCTTTGTATTTATGCATTCTGCATCAGAGCTGAGCTGTGCAATTGCTGGCCCTTCTTCTGTTTTGGGAAGAAATTGCCTCGTACTATTATTCTGTTGTTTTCAAAGAAGCATAAAGAAAAGGTTGAAGCCTTGACAGCTATGACAAAGTCCAGTGCCATAATGTGTCACCAGATAAGTGATACTGTATAGTCTGTGGCAGTCAGCAAAGCATAGCAGCCACTATTTATGTCAGCTTTAAAAGAGAGGAAGTGTTACCCGAAGGGGAGAGAATATCAGAATTTGACAGCCTGGTAGACATCTGAGGTTAAATGCCATCTTTTGATTAGATTTGACTTACGTATTCATTTTCTGTATTGAGATCTGAAATTCCAGCCCTTAAAGTCTCACTTTGTTACCTTACGGGACTTAAAAACATTGTACCTAAGAACAGAGTTTTCTGCTAGAGCAGATGATGTCAAAAGTTAGGTCATAATTTTCAATTTGTTACTTATACTGTGTAAATATGTAGGTGCATATACAGCCAGCAATGGGAGAGAGAGATAGATGCATCATGTTCATTTCTTAACCTTTAAAAAAAGAAAGTTTACTTTCAGTAATAATTTGTATATTACTTGGATTCCTCCTCTATTATACCAAATGATTTTTATGTTTCTTAAGCTTGCTGTTCTAAGTTCTTGTTTCAATTTAAAACTTCAAATTAAAACCTTGATTGTATGTCTCTATAAGCAGCATACATCGTGCATGGAAAGGAACTGTGTAGGTATTTGGGATTGTTTTATTTCCCCCCCTTCCCTATCATAAGTTGTTTGTCCTTTGAGCATTTGTTTGTGTTTTGTTTTTTAACTTCATGAGTAGTCTTACCACTTTATATCACTTGGAATGGGAGGGAGTAGAGCAGAGATACTTCTATAGTGATTGTAATGGTCTTAGAAGAATAGAAGTTGTTAGTTTTCAAACAATACTTTCAGTTTATGGGAAGCAGTATGCTTTGAATCAGAGGCACTGTATTTTCTTTTTCTTAACAAAATCAGCAGTGTGCTTTTTACATTCTGAAGTCAGTGTGAAACTTTCCATTGAAGTGTGAATTACAAAGCTTTGATTATATGACTAAAACAATCACTTTCTGTGACAATTAGTCTTAAGCGTTGAAGAGACTAAAGTGGATAATACCCTGATGCCGTTTCATCCATTTTGTCTGCTATTGGTTTTGTGTGAAACTGGTAGTAAATCCAATTATTTTCGAACAGTTTCACTTAAAAAAATAATAATCTGTACTTTTAAAGCCACAGTTCTAGAATTTTAATGATTTTTATCTAGAAACTGGTAGCAGATAGTTGTCTCAAAGACAGGTTCCCTGGATGAGGAGAAAGACGGAGGCAGAGGGCTGACCTTTGACCTTCTGTTCCTCAGCTGTAGTGCAAGTAGTGTGTTCTCTTTCCCGCTTCCTCTCTCTCTCTTTTCTTCCTCTCCCTCTCCTCCTCTTCTCTCTGCTTTTTGCCTTAAACACAGCAAACAAATTTAACAGCCAGTTACATCTGATGCCTGCATCCTGCAAAGGAAGATGGAGAATGTGCTTTTGCCTCCTTCAGCTTACTCGAGCCTGTTCACTGGTCAGGATATGGGACTTCGGAGGATATGGCATGCTTTTTTGCTGCTTTGCGTATTGCAAAGACACTGCTTTATGTTGCTTTTCTTTTTGAAGCCTCCCATTCATGTGCCTAATCTAGCTTTTCTTAGAAGAGCACTGTCCATTGTAAAGAACTGTTTGTACCTTTTAAAAATAGGGGTATGATATGTGAAAGGGGATGTGAGTTCATCTAAACCTTGAGTATGTGATCGTGAGCTCAGATCTGGCAGTTGCAACTCAGAAGATAAATTCTGGACTTTCTCTGAATGCATTCGTTTTCCCTGATATGCTTTGTCAGCCAAACATATCAGCAGTGGGCCAGACAGTGTCAGGAAGGGAATTGAGAATAGGACAAGAAGGGTTTAATACAACTTGGTCTTGAGTTTAAAAGCTTTGAGAAGCCTTTTGAAACATCAGCGTGTCTGGTTTTTTGAGCATTGTCAATTCTGGTGACTCCTCAAGAAGAATGTTAGAGCAGGTAGAGACGGGTTGCTAAAATAGTCATGGGATCACCTGTCTTACAGGAAGAGTCTGAAAAGATTGCAACTTCAGCATGTGGGATCAGACAGGCTGCACCCTTTAACGTATGTAATCCAATGCCTATAATTCTTGAGGGAACATGATGAGGATGGACAGCAGAAAGTGCTCAAAAGAGCTTGCATGCTCTTCTTAAAAAGCATTTCATGCTGCTGTGGACCGCTGATCTGACCCAGCAGTGTTTCATATGTTCTTAATAGAAGAATGTCACAGGTACTTCTCTTGGACTGTGACCTGAATCCTAAAGTTAAGTAAATCATTCCAATACGTTTATGGATAAGTAATGGTTTTTATAAATTGGTTCATTGCTTTGGAGAGTCAAGTGATAACTTAATCAGTGTTCCTTTATAGGGCATTTGGTGAACTGTTTTCTCAAGTGCAACTTTGAGAGTTATTTCTGTGTTTCAGTTAGTGGACTACTGCAAGGTAAAATTCAGTGAGGTACTACCGTGCAAAATGCTACAGATTTGCGTGAAGCTAATAGGACCTATTTTTTTCTCTCATTTCTTTTGGATGGGTCCTGATTTCACAACCTTTTTGTACAGTTACGATTTCTGAGGTAAAAATTCCTTCCTTCCCCTCCCCCCTCTTTCTTTCTTTTTAACAGGTTCTTGAAGATGCAGAGGCTCAACATTTGTTCCAGTCCATTCTTCCTGATATGGTCAAGCTGGCACTCTGTCTCCCTAGTATCTGCACCCAGGTAAGCAAACACAGCTAGCTAAGTGCTCTGTGTCAGACCATTTTTCTGCAAACTGTAATTAATGGCTAAGGTCAAAACATCAGGATTGTGTAATGTTCTTAATAAAAGAGTTTTTGCGTTGAATGTAGCTGAGACCTAGGGAGCAGAACGGACAATGCACATCTAGAATGATCTGATAAAATGTAAATATGTCTCTCTGTCATATTTTTAGCCTAAACTTCAGTAACACTTTCTATATGTTGGAGTTGCTTCTTGCTTTTCTTAAATGAAATGACCATGCAACCTTTCAGATTTGAAAATCACGCTTAACTGAAATACTTACATAATCTTAAAGCATCTTATTTTTCATTTTAGATTTTTTTTTGGTCCTAGAAGATAGTATTTTCATAAAGCCTTCATATTTTATCGTACTTAGAGCATCACAATACTTGTGCACATACAAACTGTAGGTAGTAAAACTGGTAAAAGTGAATAGGACTGATCAAGTGAGGATGTATGCTGGGTAAGGTATTAGCAGGGTAAGGACTTGAGTTTGTAAGCTCTTTTGTAACAATTTATTTTAATTGATTTGTTGGACAGGAGTAGGGAAAATCTCTCCCTACATTGTTATGCTGCAGGGGTCCCGTGATAGATATATGATTTAAAACAGTGTGAATATTTCTTTAAAATTCTTTTACTAGTCACTTGATGGGGAAAGTTTTTGAGAAATCTGCAAAGTTTCTGAGCAGTCAAGCACAAGACTTGCAAGTTCATGTAGTAATCCCTTTTATAAAGACAATGTTCTATTAGGGAGTATAAATTATGAAGAACATTGTTGGACTTATTTTTTTGGTTAGGCATAAAGCTGAATTTGTTCCAATATAACATACTGTCCAAAATATCCTATTTTTATAGGCGTGTAGAACGTATTAGAAAGCTTCTTAGGCTTTTTTCCCCCTCCAGCTGTGTGACTTCAGACATCACAGTAGAGCTTGTTAATTAAATAGCCAGATGATGGAATGAGAATCAGTGAATGTGAATGTAGTAGTTACAAGAATGATGGAAAACTTGTTTGCTTTGTGGATTAAACAGGGCTGTATATTCAACAGTCTAAATTAGTAGCAATTTCTGTATTCACAACTAAAAGGATTAAAATGTAGCTGCTCAGCTTTCCTGGAGCTAGGCTAATAGTGATGGCTAAGAATATTGGAAGAAGTGAAAACTCTGTTCTCTTTCTCCTGTCAAGTGGCTTTATTGTCGTTGTTACTGGACTTCTTAGCAGTCAGGTTGATATGCCTCTCCCCCATCCTGTATTATGACATATTTTTAAAAATAAGTAAAATGTCATGGATGCGGAGAGCAAGAATTCCAAATCAAGAGGCTAAAGCCTGGTAAAGTGGTAGATGTATAACACTTCAGGGTTTTGTTTTGTTTGTTTGTTTGTTTTAGTTCCCCCAACTTCTTTGTTTCTTTTGATATTAAAGAAACCCTGACTAGAGTCAGATGAAACTCCTAACTGAAGACCAAAGTGAAGCTGAGCTTTTTGTTCATGCTTATTACAATAATTAAAGATAATCATGCACTTTCTGCAAATATTGTCAGTGCTATTTCTTCAAGTAGAATGGAAAAAAAATTCAAAGCAAGTCATGGAGTGGTGATCTGTGGTATGACTTCCACATTTCTTTGTAAAGTATAAGGCATGGTTATTGTAGCTGAGAGCATTCCTTTAGGGTTCTTAAGTATATGGCTATTGAAAGTGGGGTTTTGCTTCAGGTTTTAAGATTGTCCAAGATTTGCAAAATCCCATCTATTTTTTCCCCTCCCCATTCCCCATGGTTTTGTTTGATAAGTTCCGTTTTCTTGGTCTTTTGTTTTATTATTGATTAGAAATCTGCACTTTGTCAAGCAAGCTTTTCCTGAATTGTCTTGAATAAACTGTTCTTGACTTTAATGGTGCTGCTGATTAAAGGGTTCACGAATGACCTAAATTACTCTTGCTCTAATTTAACAAATGTAATTTTGTGCTCCTGTTTTTTTTCATATAAAAATGAGTAAGCTAATTATTTTTCTCTCTCTTTCTCTCCTTTCTCTTCTGCCCCTCCCTCCCCCTCACTTCTTTTTTTGGTAGCCAATACCCCTACTGAAACAAAAGATGAATCACTCTATCACAATGTCACAGGAACAGATTGCTAGTTTTCTGGCCAATGCTTTCTTCTGTACTTTTCCACGTCGCAATGCAAAGATGAAGTCTGAATATTCCAGTTACCCAGACATTAACTTCAACAGGTATGGCACTCTGGAGTAAATGAAGCTGATAACCCATCAATGAAAATATTATTGTTGTCATTAGAGGAGAAACTTACTGTTTCTTTCATGTTTCTATCACTAATTTCAGTAGTTTGCTTTCAGTCTTTTTACTTCTAAGGGACAAGAAAACTATGCAACTTAGCAAGAAAGGATATTGTGCACAGGGAAGATATGCTTAATATTCCAAATTTTTCTTTTTTTCATGCATGCACACGTGCAGACATGCTCTTGCTCTGGCATAATTAGGCTGATAGAATTTCCTACCTCCTCAAAAGCCATTCATCTGCAAATGGAATATTTCAGTTGTGCTTTAAGTGTTCTATATGTGTTTAAATTAAAGGTCAGTGTTTCCCCAGCTATGTTTCTGTTGTCTCCTTTGTGTCAACAGTGATGATCTGCACATTAAGGCAGATCAATAAGACTTCCTTCTTCGGCATCCGTAAAATCTCTTAGCGTTTTCAGGCAGTTAGAGCTGCATGTTAAAATAAATTTGTCCTTTTCCCTATAAGTTAGCCTGAAAAGTTTTCAAGAACACAACAAGAATTTAATTAAAGATACTGTGATTTCTAAACAAAAGCTTACTCTTTTTTCCTCAGTGCTAGCTTACAGATAGATTTTATTAGAATTTTTTTTTCACATCTTTTATTTTTTATATATGCTTATTTCAATTTTAAATGGGGGAAGAGGATGGAGACATTCCCTGCTACAGAAATATGGTTCACATGGACTTGGAGATAGGAAATGAGAGTTTGTCTTCTGGGCACATCCATACAAGTCTGAGTAGATCAACAATAAGTTTATTAGGCTGAAGCTTGGATCGATTATTGATCTAGAGTTCTTATTCCTCACATTTAACATATATAGTGTATATGCTCTGAAAACGGAGATGAAATACAAGAATACTGTTACCTGTGATCCAGCACACTCTGGTATGTGTGTCATAAGAGCTTTATTATACTAGAACTTCCCAGAATAAATTGTAAGGCATGCCAATGTACTAACAATGGTTTTGGTGCTTGCTATCTTTAAGGGCTGGGACAGGTTTCTCTATACTGCGTATCTAAGAAGAGAGACCAGGGTCACTGTCTGGGTGTTTATTTCAATAGTGCAGTGGGTTACAGGAGGGAAATGTGGGTGGGCATTACTGTACCATACAATTCAGCAAATTTTTCCACCCTTAGTTCATAAGAACAAAAGTGGAAAGTACCATCCATGTATAAAAAACGATTTATGTTCAGAGCAGTGAAAGAGGACAGTACAGTTCTGGAAAGACTTCTCTTTGGCTGCACCAGCTACATACTTCTAGCTGAATTTTATGTTTGGTTTTTCTTTTTTTAAAGTACTTCAAGGTACCAGTTTTTGTTGTAACTTAAGCATATTATAAATTGAGCAGTTAAATTCTTGCCAACTGTGGAATAAAATGCTGTTAAATCACTGGAGTAAATTCATATTCTCTTCTGTGAACATTACACAGCAATGTAATGTCACGGTAATGCAGTGTAGTACTAATGATTAACTTGGGGCATATTGTTTTGAACTACTTTTAAACAAAAACGCCTTGGCTAATTGTTAGAAAAATAGTTTCCTGCCATAGGCTTAAATAATGACCAGTATATGCAGGATTCTTTGCCCTGTTCCAGTCAGTCCTCCTTTGTTCTCTGACTTGGCTTCCTAGTGCAAATTAGTGAAGTAGAATACATGGTGTGACAGGCAGTGGATAAGAGGGGCTGTATCAATGAGAGGGAGACTGGTAGGATATGTTTGACAGAATAACAGACAGTCAGTGCAAGATATTGAGAATTTACTCTTCTCTTTTTTTTTTTTTTTTTTCTTCTTGTTTTCCTTTTCCCTCTGTTAATCATTTTCTGGTGCACCAGTGCTTGGCGCTGTTACTACAGTGGTGATGGCAAGTTGTTTGAATGCTGGTACATGTGCTAATAAGTGCAGCCGATTGGAAGGAAAGCTGTTGTAATGTGTTAGTATTAACGTAAGTCACCTATGTTTTACCTTTCCTCTCCTGCCTGTTGGTCTTGCCAGATGAGAGAAGAAAAAAAGTGAGCATTCTTCATTTGGCACTGAAGCACTTAGTTTAATAGTATGTTGTGACATTAACTGTCTATTTTGATTGTTCATCATGTTACAGACTGAAAGTCACCTGTGTATAATGAAATACTTACTAATTTAATTGAATTTTTCCTTTTAGAACTTGGCAAGGATAGGCCTATTATTATTAAGTCATTAATAATATAATTAATTTCAAATCTACTTAATAAAATGGAATTTGTAGTTTAACTTTGAGAGCTTTAGTATTTGTGAATATTAGTAGATAGAAGGGCATCCATTCAGTGGCGAAATATTAGATCATACTAAACAGCATAAAATACTGCTTCTGTTCAAAGTATCAAGCTAAATTTAAAAAGTTCAATTCTTTTTGAAAGCATTTTTATGATATATAAGATGGAAATAGATTGGGCAGCTTTATGCAGAAATATCTCATCACAAAAGAAAGAAATAATGAAATTCGTGATTTTATTCCTCTTGCTGATGAATTTGCCATGGTAGTTGCATGCTGGTTGAATGTAGAGCATGAATTGCATTGACTTTTCTGAGATCATCTCTACAATTATGATGTTGGTTGCACAGTTTAAAGTAGTTTCTTGTGGGGATGCTCATAATCGATCTTCTTCATGAATAGTTTGTGGTTTAATGTAGCACTTTCATAACAAGTATCTTCTTCCTCTTGGAATATATTAAAGAAAAGATTGAACTATGCTTTCTTGCATTTATTTTTTTATAAGATGCTTGAATGGATACTGTCCACTGTCACACAAGACTTTGCATTGTGGAGGTTTTTCTCCCCCCACCCCCACCCCCGACCAAGTTACCAGACCTTTATCTTGTTGTAACTTATCAAGTTACGATAACTCCTCTGTTTGCCTTTTTCAATAAACTGCTATAGTTAAACTGGAGATGCTATGCATCTGTAATAGCTCCCATGAAAACAATTGAGGTTGAAGTCATAATTGAAGGTAGTATGTCTAATGACATAATCCTGGTGGATCTTTTGGTACATATATTAGTGGGTGTTATGGTCTGAAATCACCAGTATTCCACTAGGACTGAATTTCTTCATCTTAATCTAACAAACCTTTAAAGCAATTTCAAGTGAATGGAAATGAGGGTGGGGGGGGAAGTCCACTAGTTAAGATATATGTCTTTTACGGCATGTATAATGTATGAAAGGAAATGGACAAACTATAGTACATTTATGTGGGAGAATTGAAATCGAATTTACCAGTAATGCAATTGTCTCTTCATAAACTACATCAATTGTGCAACACTAATGAGTATTCTCTCGGGAATAAATTATCTGATGACTTCGAGAGAACTTGGTTTGGACTGAGAGATGCATTGTTCCTCGGAAAAGTGGTTCTAGATACTCTGAGTTTGCAGATACTGCTCCTGATTTTGTTACGCCTGACTTGGGTATATTTCCTCATTAGCCTTGAATGGAGTACTTTATTCTAAATTTAAAACCTAACATTTGTGTGTGGTAAATGGTTAAACAGGCAACTTTAAAAGGACTCTATTCTTAACAAGTCTGGTATAATTTCTTTGCTGTAGTGATTAAACCAGTACTTAATCTGAATATTTTATTGTTAGTTTAGTAAAAATAGTAATTTAGTCCAGAATGTAGTTGTGCCATGCTATAGGATGTCTTTTGGTTTAGGTCCTCATGGTAAAACTATGAGGTTTTACTCATTTTACACTGCTATTTGGTGTTGAGTACTTGGAGTTAGCATCTTGTCATTTCATCAAAGTTAAGTTGATGTATTTTGAGACTCCTAAATCACCAAAAGCTTTTCGTAAACACAAATAAATAGAAGAAACGATACAAGTGTGTCATCAACTGTAGCAATACAGAAAAGGGCACTTTTTAATGCCTGTTGTAGTCAAGAAAAAGCACACATAGTTAGCTGTGGGGACTGTAAGTATAAAATTGTGTATTCAGACTTTTGCAAACAGCACACATGAAATGCTGTGGATTTACAAATAGGAAGTATTCTCTGAAGTATGATCCATATTACAAATTTTTGCGTATTGTTACCACATAGACAGCTTTCTGAGTTTTGTGATAGGTTCTGAATTCAATGTAAAAACATGATTATATCTTTTGGAGAAGAAACATTCAAAGGAAACCCAGCCTGGGGATGGGAAGGTAAAGGCTGGGGATGAAAATACTGGTATGCAATTATTTAACTGGGAGTTTAAACCACATGATTGTAGTGGTTCCTTCTGCTTGTACAAATTACTGTAGCCAGCTCTTTGAGTAACATCAAGGGATCAATTTAGCTCCTTGGAAATTAAATTTTTCAAGTAAACTACTGTACTTTAATTATACATTAATCAGAACCAATGAATTTCAGAACTGTTTATTTAAGATGGTTCAACCTTTCCCCAGTAAACTATATGCATGCCAAGGTCACTTTTGTGTAGCTTTTAATGTTATTAAATCATGTTGATGTTGCGTCATTGGAAATGCAGCCTTTGAAGTACCTTGCAAATATGCCACTTGCCCCAGCACGCAAAGGACTTAGGAGCAGGTTCTTTAGAGCTCTTGGCTCCAGCTTTCTAAGGTGGAAATGTTGGTTGAAAATAAGACAATATTGAATTCGTCATCAAGGAGACTGCGAAAACCAGAATATTGATTGCACTTTTAAAATGCATTTTTCCACCTTAAAATTTTAGTAAAATGGTAATGAAAATCAAATGCACCTATTTTTGTAATAATTTTTTTAAATAGCATAAACTATTGCCTTGTGACTTTACTGAATGTTTGCTGACAGTTGCTGAGAATTTTTTTAAATTGTTTACATTTTCCCAATATCACTTCTTATTATTTTTAGTATTTTATTTCTCACATACAGGATTTCTCTTTAGAACAATTGAGTTGTGTGTCTGAATATTTGCTAGGAAAAAGTTTTCATTTACCCACAATGGTTTTAACAATCTGTTTTGTGTTTATGACACTATTCACATGTGTACTTTCTTATGTTTCAAAATCTCTGACCTTGATTCCTCAATTCCTTGCGTGTATCTCTGTAGAGGTTTCTTATTTGATTAACATTGCTGCTACCCTGGCTGGAAAGCCAGAGAGCCAAAGATAAATTTGCAGCCGTCTTTGGTGATGAGCCCTGCAAGCTTTCTTAGCTCCTGCATCTACTAAATTGAAGTTAGCTGCATGGCAATGGGAACATCTTGTACAAAACCAAACAGCTTACATATGCAGTTGCCTGTAATATTTCAATTACTTTGACTGAAAGTGGGCTTGCAGTGCTTTGCATTTGATTTACAGTGCACTTCATATGGATGAGCTCTTTAATTGGAATTAATGGGTTTTGGCCTTGAGTTATTCTGTCAGGAAATTGATTATGTGGTTTCCACTTACATTTTCATGTGGTGGGGTTTTTTTAAAATAGAATATGTGTCTCAGAGCTTGAAGTAGAATTTTCGTTATCTTACTAATGCTTTCATCTAGCATTGTTCTTCAAAATAGAGATATTTGCTTCAGAAATAAAGCTTCTCATCATGTTGCCTAATTGATTATTTCAGAAGTAAGGTTCAAGGTTAAAACGTTCATAACTTTACCGTGTTATACCCTCACCTAAGCTTTTACTGTTGCATTCACATAGATGACTGGTTACTTTCGGTTGCACTTAAGAAAGTTTGGCTGCCTGTATGTATTGGGAGGTGTTTGTTTTTCTCTTGTGCTTTTCTTCTGACTTTAGTATAGCTTGGTGGAAGTCTTCTGGATCATTGATGTCCTTGTGATATGATTTTTCAATGGAAATTTAAAAGAACATATGAAGCAATCAAATTTAACTGAATGAGTATCAATAGCTTTAAAAAACACTATGAGAGTCTGAGGCTAATTTGTGGGGATTTTTCCGTGGTCTGATTGGCCTTTAAAACAGATTCCTAATGTTGTAAACCACTTCAGCTATTTTGAGTTCCTTGGTCTGGTTATATGAAAATATGGAAGCAATATACTAGTGTTTTGTAGTTTTCAAACGTATATAAGAAGCATGTTTGCAGATAACCGTCTTCAGTTTGCCACTAACTCACCAGTAAAGGTAAAGTCTAAACACAGAAAATATGAAGTAAACTCAAGCATGTTCATCTAAGACTTGGAGGCTTCAACCTGCTGTTGAAGGGCTGTCCTTTTATGAGTGTGTTTGGTTTTGGACAAACATAACTTGTGGTGGATTCAGTCCTAGGACATGGGTGCAGGGCTAGTGTTGCACACTTTTGTTTTTTGCTTTTAATGAATAAATAATTTTCTTTAAAAAAAAAAGTATTTTTCTGTATTTAGCAGTGGATTTTCAAAGACGAAGTACAATTTGTGTTATGTCATAGTGAAGAGAAGCAAATACTGTCAGGAGGAGTAGGTGATGAGAGCTCTTAGGCTAACTGCTATAAAAGATCTGATGCATGTAGTTACTGGTTGCATATAGATACTGGGTCAAAATACGGATAATTTTGAATGCTGCAATATTCTTCTATCTCCATTGTATGGAGTATCCATCTATAGCAGGGGATGCTTGTGCCAGAACCCAGAGCTTTTCAAGTTCTGTGCTGCCCTGTGCTTTTTGCCCAGTTATATAGGACTAGAACAGAAGTACATTGGCAATTCCTCATTGGCAGTTATAGAAGGTGTTTTGGGAAATTTTATCTGCTGTAAATGAGATTTGACAGAAGCAAATCAGCATTACTCTAACTTTGACCCCTGAGGAGAAAGAAGAGAGGTAGTTATCACAGCTTTTAACAAAAGAGAAGCCCATACTGAATACTTCATATGTGAAAAAATAGTGGTTGAAATTCCCTACTTGACAAAGAGACTGCATTTTAATGAACAGTTGTGATGCATTAACTTTGTTTCATCTGCTTTGCCATTGCCTTTTAGCTTGATCTGATCTATTTCAGGCAGTTTTTCCAATTCTGGACTTCTCCTGCCTGGTCTGCTAGTTATACAGAATTGTGTATCACCTTTGTGACATGAACTCTCCTGAGAGTTTGCGACATAAGCAAGATTTCAGTTTGATGTAAACAGGCAACTAGTAAAAGCATGACTGGGCTAATAGCTAAATTAACCAGTTTAAAGGAGTCACACCAAATGAGACTTCCAGATAAAAGGTCAGAGACAACTGACGCATTTAGGCAAGATCTGCACACACGTGCATGCAGGCACACATATATTAACTCTTTATTTTATGAGCCCTTTATTACTGGTGCAAGCACAACCCCTTGATAGAATTTACATATTTGGCCATTTATAATAGACAAAATCTGGAGTTTGCTGCCTTAAACTCCTGATTTATTATTCAAAGAATAAAAAAGTTTTCGTAAAACCTTTTTAATAAAAACTAGCTCATGTGACTTAATATGTATTTTGAATGAAATTGAACTCTTCAGTATGTATACTTCATAGGAATTTTTAAATACTGAAAAAAATTCTAGTCCAGTTCACTACTAAAAGCTACATTCATCTGACAGCATTCTGGTTTTGAAGGCAGGCTGTCATTCCAGTACGTGGAAACAAATGAATAATGTTGTGTCATTGCTTTACTTAGACTATTTATTGGGGAGGAATCTTACATCCTCAGGGCTTTCATTGTATTAGACATCTTTTAGTGAACTTCCTACTCAAAGGATATTATTTCTGAAGTCACCACTGTTCTTCCTTCCAGATAAATTCCATTATGTATTGCCAATAACAATACCTTGTCACTTTGTTGGAAGGGAAATTAAGTAATGCGTGTTCAAGTTGCTGGAAGATAGATGATGCAGTGAAAGTATTTCAGCTAACCTTAAAAGAATGCATTCACTTAATGGATAAAAATAGATGCTTCTTTTTAATGCTTAGGTTTTTACAAATGAATGTTAGAATGCTGGTAGTAGCCCAGTGGATGAAGCCGCTTCTTTTGGGGGTAGGTTCTTTTTTTTTAGGAACATTGCTGGTACAGTGCATCTCTTGAAAGCAATATATTTGCATTAATTCTCTGCAACTCACTGAGCTGAAAGTAGGGTAAGACATTTGGATCCTGAAGTACTCAGCATACATGTCTTCACCCCTTGGTCATTTACTTTAATCCAAGCCAGTCTGTTGCAAATAAAAATAGTACCTTTCCTGGATGTTCATGTTGAAATTAAATTTTTTTTGATATTAGGAAATCAGTATGAGTGAGATAGGCATTCATGTAGCATCTTCATGAGAAACTTGGCAAGTGAATGAACTTGTTACTCCTAAAGACTCGTGTTACAGAGGTGCTGGGTAGAGCGTTCTTTCCACAGTATTTAAATGCAAAGCTAATAGAAATACAAGCATAATGCTAAAAAATGTAAATTGCAGTAAGTAGCCTAATTACTGTGCATTATGTCCCTGAAATGTCATTAATTGCTTTTGTTTCTTTTTTCAGATTGTTTGAAGGACGATCACCAAGGAAGCCAGAGAAACTTAAGACCCTTTTCTGCTATTTTAGGAGAGTCACAGAAAAAAGTATATCTTTTATTCTTTTTTTTTTTTTTTTTTTGAGCTACAAAGCAGATACATGAAAAACTTAATCCCATTAAATTTAGAAATGGTTATACAGCATTCTGATGGACGTGTCTAACAAAAGCCAGCTTGCTTTTGATATTCGTATTAAAGTCACTTCTCATCTAGATGATGTATACAAATAAATTTTTTGCACAGAGCTTATTGTGCTTTTCTCTGAGATATATGGGGGGGGGGGGGGAAAAC